ATATATATATAAAGAATATTTTTGGCCATATTGCCCTGCCCTATCCATGAGTTCATCATTAAGATGGCCACAAATGACCATGTGCTTGGTGAATACCTCAGACAGAAACCCATGATAAAAGAGGAACAAAGAGAAGAACCATTATGTAAGGACAGGTCCCTGCACAGTATGTACCACTGGCAGATAGAGGAAGTGGCTGATATCCAAACATCGTACCCATGGCTGGGCAAAGCAAGACTAAAAGACAGAACAGAGGCACTAATCATGGCAGACAAGGACAAGCTTTTAGCACAAGATCAATAGAGGCTGGGGTTTACCATACTACGCAAGACCCCAGGTGCAGGCTGTGTATAGATTCTCCTGAGACAAGCCAGAACATAACAGGAGGCAGGGCATACATGGATTTTTTTGGCATGAAGAGAGCAAAGTAAACCAGAGTCAAACTCTTTACTTGTGTGCACAAACTTGGCATAATAAAGATACCTCTGGTTCTGTTCAAAAATTCCTAGACCTTGTAGAAAGGGTCCCAGAAGATTTTAAGCTCTTATAACTGGATGGGTGAAGCGGCATCATGTTAAACCCTTTGGATTCAGCATGAGGTGTCACTCAAGTTCATATGAGTGTGAAGGCAGTTGAGCAAATACTTTTGGCAATATACTGTCCTTCATGAGCACAGTGTGGCATGGGCCACAGCCAGTGGAACAAACCTCCCCTCAGACTATCTGCTTTTCATAAGGAAAAACATTTTCATACTGACATTTTAATTCAGAACAGTGTTTTTATCACAGCCCAGAATAGCTTTTTTCTGCATACTCTTAAAAAAAGGGCAGGTCGCTGCACGTCTGGAAAAACCTGTTTGTACAATAACTGAGCCTTTATGAGAGTGAAACAGAACTCTCTCGCTTTCTCTTTCTTTGTTGTTGTTTCTTTGTTTTGGTGTGTGAACATCTGTTAAGTTACTTTAATAATTTGGCTAGATGCTTTATTGTAAATAAATCAAGTGAAAACTTGTCTCGTCTTGTCTCTCAATAAACCGGGTTTGCTTTCATGAAAATGCCATTGCTAAGTTTCTAGTGTAGGAATGTTTAGCTGATTTAGAGTTTAGAAATGTGTTAACATAGAATGTAGAATTATTGTAGAGACACTGACACTGCCCTCAGTGTAATAAAGGCCTGACTGTGTCATGAACTTAGGAGTAGATTGTAGGAGACCCCTCCCCCAGTTGAACTGTGAAAGGTCTCAACATTTGTAACTGGATAACTGTGGTCTGGAAGGTAGATGGGTTTTTATGACCTCTAGGGAGTCACCTACACCCACAGTGTTTTAACTGTCACGCACACACATCCACACGCACATTCACTCACGTGCACTCACACATACATACAGGTACGCACATACAGTCACTCACGTGCGCTCACATAGGCATTCACGTGCTCGTGCACATAGACACAGACACAGAGTTTGCAGCACACTGTGGGGGGGTTTTATGATAGGGAAGCCTCTATAAAGCTGGCTGTAACTAACAAAGGGGTGAAGATTTTGCAGAGGGACATCGGCCTCGTCTTCCCTTCTAGAAGTGCATGCTTAAATAAAGATGAATAAAGGTTTTGTGAAATAACTACTGAGTTCCGGTGCCGTCTCTGGATGCCTCGACGAATAAAAGAACAGGGGTGAAACTGATTTCGCAACACTAGTCAAAACAAAACTTCTATAACTAAAAAATGAAATAAAAACAATAAGCATTTGACTCTCCTACCGATTTTAATAAGAAAAACAAAACTGTTTAACAAGAAAAGCTTATCATTTCAAAAAAACTGCTACTACATGTTCTATGTTTACAGTTCTGTATTATACACAGAGATGTCAACAATCAGAAATTTACAAACTAACAAGAACATCAGATTCAGAATATCTGAATTATTACACTAACTTTCCACTTCCACAGATATTTCAAATGAAAATGGCCAGAGCAAATTCTTGACACACTCATGCTCTTGGATTAATTAATTTGGCTGGTTTTTCCAGGGAAGGTCCATCATTGTTCCAAATTCTCCGTTTGTGGAAAAATGCTCTCAGTGTGGTTTACCAGATTTGGACTTTTGGCTTA